GGGGGGGGGGGGGGGGGGGGGGGGGGAGAGGGGAAGTTGGTGGTTCTTTGGGATGGGTGGTGGGAGTGTGCCATGGTGCATTGAAAGTGGACTTCGGGTTTGTTTTGTGCTTCCTCGTGTTCTCGGATCGCCACCAGTGTGCAGGTTGTCGTCCAGCTGTCCATGATCGACGACGTCATTAGTCATTGCACAGTTTAGGGTTCGTTTGTGTTGCGCCTCCGGAGGGAGTGCGGTCTTTCACCAGCGATGTCGTGCCGTGTAGCTATTGTTTAGAGTAGATGGTCTCCAACCTTACAGAACGGGACATGTGTTTTCTAATTCATTTTGAGTTGATGATTACCTTGAAGTGTTGGAATGGTTTGCAGCGGTGCTTTGTCCATGTGCTTACTGTGAGTTCTGAAATAGATGATAAAGTTGACAAGCTGGAATGACTTGTAGTTGTTCATTGTTGGTTGTCGCATTGCAAAGGTTGTCTTATTTTGCCGTTGCCGTTTCTTCTCTTCGATTAAGAAAACTTGCATCAAAAAATGTCAATTAACAATTGTTGTCTTCAAATAGTTTCCCAGTTTCATGATCCACATGCTTTGTCCATTTATTCACACTTTCCCTTTACACAAAAAAAAATTAAAAAATTTAATGCAATGCAATGTTCATGGAATGCATAGATGACAACGTTATCGAATGCAGAGATGACAACATTATTGAATGCAGAGATGACAACATCATCGAATGCAGAGATAACAATATTCAGCAATGTATGAAGACGACGACAAACCAGGCAAGGTCTTATGAAAATGATACACAAAAAAAAGTCGCTAAACTGTAGCAATTAATATCGTTCACAAACACCACCCGTTCGTCTGGACGCGAACTTCGAATGGGTGATTGTCGTCCAAAATAAAAAAGCCCCCCGGCTGCCACACCAATGCACGTCGTCATCATCAACGTCTTGGGAAGGGATAAACAGGCGCACGAAGCGAGCCTTTCATACCAAAAAAAAAAAAAAAAAAAAAAAAAAAACAAGCACCGGACCGCCGTAATGATCATACGCAGAAACTGACCGTCTATTGCCATGCTCGCCAAACCAGAATTACGGAAAATATAGCGCCACCTACAACCAATGACGGGCACCATGCAGGGCCTTTCTCAACTTCTCTCACATCACCAACTCGTCATCACGATCGTCATCATCATCGTCGTCACCGTGGTCGTCATCATCATCATAATCATCATTATCGTCATCATCATCATCATCATCATCATCATCATCGTCGTCGTAATGATGAAGTTCATCGTCATCATCATCATCATCATCGTCATCGTCATCATCATCATCATCATCATCATCACAGCATCATCATCATTACCATCATCAGCAACAGCAGCAGCATCATCGTCATCATCATCATAATCATCATCATCATAATCATCATCATCATCATCGCAACATTTTCATCATTGCGACATCGTCATGTTCGTCCTCGCCGCGCACCCCCCTCTCCACTTTCACTCCTCCTCCTCACACTCGTCATCTTCGTCGTCGTAATCGGCGGTTGGCCCTGTCCCCAACCACTGAAGCCCTCTCGCCTCGTCGGCCCCTGACAAGCTGGCGTCATGTTGGAACTTAACGCCGCAAGGCGACCAGTCTGGCAAGAAGTTCGGGGAGTGCCCCAACGTCACATGCGCCTTCCCCAGCCGTTCGGTCGCGGAGTTGGTTGCGGACATGAGGTGCCGCAAACGATCGAACAGACGGTGCATGGATGCGACGAGCAGGGGCTTGGCGAGCATGTTGGCGAAGTAAAAGGCTTCGTAGTGCGAGTGCTGGGGCTTGGCGAGCATGTTGGCGAAGTAGAAGGCTTCGTAGCTGGCTGCGGACATGCACGCCGCCAACAGCTCCTTGAAGCTTTTAGCCAGACAAGACAAACGTTCATGTGCGACGCATCCCCCATCGACGTTTTGGGCCCGTTTCGACCGCCGTGCTGAATGTCGCGATCAGTCGCATCACAGTTGCCTCCTTGTACGCCGCCATCTCGTCGTTTGCTGACCTGTCTTGGATGTGCACCCCCAGCAAACCACATCGGAAGGTCCATCCCCAAGTCTAGCGTGCGCGCGCAAACGGCGGGGCTGACGACGTTACTCCACTCCTCACCATGCCACATCGCGTGTGCGATGTCGATCGCCACAGATTCCAGTACATACTGGAAGGCGACATTGTATCCTCATTCTCTGGAGCCCGATTTGAAGACGCAGCCATGCAAAACCCGCAAGGCCACACTCTGGACTTTTGATGCGCGACTCAATGCTCCCTGCAACTGCCCTGTATCCGTGATCCCGATCTGCGCGATGTTGGATTTGGGCATGGCGACGCTTCTCGGGACGTTCGGGAGTGGAAGCCCGTTTGCGACGGCAACGAGGTGCTCACGTGTCTCGTTGATGATATTGTAGAGTTTGCGCCCCTCCCCTGACGTCCAGAATGATTTGTCGTCGACCCACAGTCTCGCTCGCTCCACCTGATCTTTCGCCAGTTCGCCTTTGCGCACCCTGTTGACGAGAGGTTCGTCATCCTCGACCCCCCTCTTTTTCTCCACATGTGCAACCTCCGTTGCGCTCGCGAAGTCCTCCCCCCTGCGGCCTTCCCCCGTCGCCCCCCACGGTGCTCCTGCCACAATTCCCACGTCCGCACCTGCGTGGCGGGGTTGTGGCGGTTCCACCGCTGTCACAATGGCGGCCGCAGCACTAGATCCGACGTTATCGCTTGTGCGATGCTGACGTGGCATTGCTGGCAATGGGACTGCCTGTCTGGGCATCGCTCCCCCTGTGACCACAACTGCGTGCTGCTGACGTGGCGTCGTCGGCAGTGTAACCGGCTGCATTGTGCTATGTTTCGGCACCGCACCGCCTTGGCCTTCGTCCACCCGCGCATCTTCATTCACTTCGACGTTGATGATGCGGACGTCGCGAGTCGTCCCCTATGCAGATGACCCCCCAGCGATTGCACGAACGTTCGACGGCAGTGGCGGCGGCTGAACGTCAGGAGCGCCCGTCGAGAAGATGTCATTATCATCGGTCGGGCTTGGTCTTCCCCACCCATCCCCATCCGTTCGGGCGCCGCCGAATGACGCGCCGCCTCGGCGATCCTTTTTCACCTTCATCACTTGTCGCCCTCCTTTGTCCACTCCCCCAGCGTCGTCATGAGGTGCATCACGCTTCTTGCCGCATGCACGAGAACCGCCTCTGCCCCTTGGAGACATGGCCTTGCCTGACGCCGCGCTACTACGTCCCACAGCGCGTCACTGTTGTAGACATCCGTCCCGGAACAGAGCCAACGACGTTCCACACTGGCAAGGAGTACGAGTACCACCTTCCCGAAGAATGTCCCGCTTCGTGCGATCTACAAGGTGGCTGCCTGCGTACGTGGCTGACGTCGCCTGATGATGAACGTTGATGGCGCGCTGCGAGCGGATGACGGAGGATCGTGGAAGACAGCGAGCATGGAATGTCGCGGCGAGGGAGTGGAGGTATTGTAGGATCCGCGACGACGGTGAAGGTTCCGTTGGCGTGGAGTGGTTCGCCCAGTTGTGGACCGTGATTTATATTGTTGGCGGCCTTGTCCTTTCAGCGGTCGGAGAGCGACAATGACTCGCAGGGAATGATCAGCGGAAAGATCAGCACAACGATCAACCCAACAGGCACACGACCGACTAGGCAGAGAACCGAAAAAAAATAAAAGTATAAATAGAAAAAAATAATTTCATGTCTATGAGCGAAGGAAGACCCTGACAAGCGCAAGAGCGGAATGACAGACAGTACACGGAGGAAGGGTCTACATCGTCCAATGACCACGAATGGCGGCAGCGATCTCCATGAGACCGTGGCACATCATCTTCTGGGTTTTGTCGGACGCTGCATAATGCGCTCTTTGAACCGCTACCTCTTGCTCCAGTATGTCGCATTGCCTAGTCAAGATACTGCACTGCCGCTTGCTTGACGAATCGATCATTGATGCCATGAGTTGCCCATGCCGGTGCATCACATCCGTGATTGCCTCAAAAGTCGGTTGACGTGCATTCTTCCACTTTTTGCCTCAGGCCCCGCTACCTGCGTTTTGATCAGAGTCCCTAGCCTAAGAACGGTCGTCCGCGCCGCCATCACCGCCGGCTTCACTTCCGACAGACTCCCCACCTCCCGCTCCTCGCCTCGGCAACTGCACCCGTTCCGGACGACCAGTGTCGGCGATGTTGGGAGGGAACATGGTGTGGCTGCCAAGTATGCTCGCATGGATCTCGTTGTACAACACCCTCTCCATCCTGAACTTGAAATTGTGCTCCTTCCGCTCTTCGTTCGACAACTTGAAGAAATCCGCCTCGCCACTCTTCCCTTGAAATCTCTGTATCTTCTTGTAGTTCTGAAATGGATTGTCCCACTTCTTGGAACACTCATCGACTTCTTTCGGCGTCCCCATGTTGGCCATCCATTTCACAATGTAGTCCCACCTCCACTCCTTCGTTCGCAGCCGACCGTAATTGTGACCCAGCCCTGCTAGGTGCATGTCTTGCTCCCACTTACATCTCACAAGTCGCAATTGGTCGTCCGTCGACCAATATGTCGCCGACTTCCCACCATCGTCGGATGCGCCTCCTCTGCCACCCTGCCCACCGGATCGACCACGACCACCGCCTCTGCGGTGTCCTTTCCCCCCCCCTATCGTCTTCCCCAATGACCAAATTTCGACGTCATCGTCATCGTCCACTGCCTCCATGTCCTCAATGTCTCCATCGTCAGCGTCATCACGGAATGCCGCATCTTGAACGCCGCCATCGTTGTGTGCCCGCATGTTGGACACTCCTCGAATGATGTTGTCCACTGTAGGTCGTGGACACGCCGGCGGTCTGCAAGCGACGTCGTCTCTCAAGTCTGCCTGCGTAGTTCTGCTCGGGTTTGGCATGTCCAAACGACCACCGCCGATGCGCACGTGGCCCGCTGCCAATCCGACAGGGACGGGGCAGCCGTCTCTGCTCCGTTCGCAGGACCACGCACTCTTGCCATGCTGCTGGTTAGAAGGTAAAGGCCGAATACCGACATTAACGGACACACCGGCTTCAAGTGTGCATTGCTGGGTGTGCGCACTTCCTGCACGTTGAAGGGATCGCGGGGAAGGCTCGGGGTTGATGATGAACGTACGGGTCGCTGCCGTCGCACCGCCGGACGAGAAGCCGAACCTCAGATCAACCTGCCCGTCGTCGTCATCTTCCGAGCCTTCCTGCAGGAGGGACGTGAACTCGCCACCCGCGTTGCGCCAGGACCCGTCAGCTGCCACCGTCTGCGACCACATCTGTGTCGACCCACTGCCCAAAGGTAACGTTGTGAGTTCTGCCGTCTCCGGTTCATCGTCTGACGGGGGAAGCGGCTGCTCGTGTGGTGGTAGATGGTTGTACAACGATGGGTCGTACCGTCGTGCAAGATCCTACTCCACCCTGACCTTCCGCCGGTTCTCTGCCTGCGTCGAAGTTCACCATTCGTCGTTGCACGGAAGGCCGTATCGTGGACGCCCGTCGTTTGCGAGGTTGCTTCCACGGGCGGCATGCGAAACACACGTGGAGGAAGACGACACACAAGAAGAGGACGACGGCGAGTAGCAGCAGAGGCAACCTCCTATACACGTCTGCCATGAATGTCGCCTTTGGATGCAACGTTACGGACAAGCACTACAGAAGACGTCGCCCAACATGCCGACAAATAGGACCACAATACCTTCCTATGTCGTTGTACGCACAAGACGACATAAGCGGATACCTGCAGTTCAAATTTCGACCGTTGGGGCCCATCCACTGCCCGTCCGTCGTCGGTATGTCATGCTGCATGGCGTCCTCCTCCGCATTTCGCATCAAAGCCAACGGTTGACTACGGACGACAGGGCACCCCCGCTCACCCTCCGCGCTCCACCCCGGCCGCCAACGACTACCGCTGGTGGCCGTTGCCCCCCTCGACCCGCCGAATGCCTCTGATATCCGACCCCGTGACCCAACGGACAACTTCTGCACCACCGAGTCCGAGACGGCAGTGCCATGCACGCGACGCCATGACTCCGCCAAACGCGGTTGCCTAAGCTTTTCAGTAGCTAGGGGGCTACTAAAAATTTTAGGATATTTTGCTTGGGGAATCCTAAATTCTTTAGGATGAGTCCTAAGGCCGTTTTCACATTTTTTATCTCAAAATCGGAGTCAGGAATGCGTGCAACCACGAAACAATCCTAAAAATTGGCACGTTTAGGAGTGTCTAACGAGACCATTGGCCCAGCTATCGATGCCGAGCCCGCCGACCCCTTGCGCGACAAGTTTCCCCGAACAACCGTGATGAGTTTTCGGCCAAAAAACTCGGTTTCAATTTCGTTCAAAAAATAAAAGATGTCCATTTTGACGAAATGGTAGTTCTTGGAGGAGTCGTCTCTTGCTGAAGCCAAGCATAGTGAGAAACAATACAAGGGGATGCGCAGATTGTGTGTGTGTTGCTCCTTGTAGCTAGCCTTCTTCGCGCTTGCCGTGGCCTGTTCCTGAGGGGAAAAGGAGTTCAGACTATGAAGGTCAAAAGTCATTAGTGAGAGGAGTAGATTAGAGTAGAAGTGAGAGAGCAGCTCCATTGCTTGCTCCCGTTTGAGAAAGAAAAATGATTGGGAGCCATTTTGGAAGGTGCAAAATGCGGCTGCTTCTGCAAATTCGAGTAATTTAAAATCGGAAGTGACGAGGTCAGATTCATACGTTCTTTCAACGAACTTCAAGGTGGATTGCAATGAAGTTATGGTGTGTGGGAGGATGAAAGGAAGGGAGAAAATGTGAAGTGGGAGAAGCGAGGCTGAGGGAGGGTCCAGGACGAAGATACACTGGATATTTTCATCAACGGCTATTGGAGGTAAAGTTATGGAAGAAAGTAGCGGCGTGATGAGGGAGGAGAAGATTGTGGCTAACTGCGCGTCAGGAATGAGTTCCTGCAACTGGACTGTGAGGGTGGAGGGAAAAAAGGAGAGAAGGAATGGATTGAAAAGTGGTGAGTTGATGGGGGGTAGAGAATGGAAGGAAGAGGATGAGCACGGGGCGGCGAATGCATCGTGTTGGTGGTGTGGGTTGGGATTGGTGGCGGGGTTAGGCAGGGTGGGGATTAGTTCTCCGATTCTGCAAGCAGAGGGGTTCATGGTGGTGTGGGTGGGAACTGACTTACCGGGGTGGGGTGGACTGACAAGAAAGACTGACCGAAAAGAAACGCTGACTTGTGACTGACTTGGAGAGACAATGGTGGCAGTGCGACCTTGACTGACGACGGGAGGCCCGACGGACTGCGACCTGAGAGTCCTTTCGCCACAATTGGCGAATGAGAAAATGACTCTGGTCAGACCGGCTGATGAAGTGACCTGCCTGCCTGCAGATTCGCGTATGCACTGAGCACTGCTGCAGGGCACACGACGGAAGGAGGATCGTGGGAAATCCAGCAGATCCAACAAGGCCAGCAACCTGCGTCTACTGCTGTGCTGCCAGTCACTTGTACCGTAGCGGGCAGTGGGAGCAGCGCCATCCGGCCAGCAACGTCCAAATGCACCTCCGGTGAGTTCCGAGGTCCCTGGTCCCATTTGATTCTTAACCAAACAGCCTGCAACTTCCAGAGTCCAACTGCTGAGTCTGTGTTCCCACTTGTACCTAGACAAAAAATAGCTTGCAACCTGAGGAGTTCAACTGCAGAGACCGTATCCTATCGCGGTTGTCCAATTATACGTCGTAGATGTCCGAGATCCAGGGCTGCAAAGAACAGTGCGACCGAGGGGAGGGAGAATCCTGACTAAATGGGCCTTTAACTGTTGGAGTCTGCTGATGGTGACTGGGAAGTTCGAAAGGCAAGCGCGTGTAGTTGCGGGACAATTGCTGTCTAGACACTAGATTTGATTTTTGTCTTTGTTTCCCCCCCTTTTATAGGTGGTTGTTTCCTTTTATTTAGCCCAGTTGCATTGTTTTTTGGGAGTGGTATTGATAATGGGCTGCCGGACAGGGTTTCCAGCAAGAGCAGAAGCTGGGTAATGACCCTAGTACTCTGTGTTTGTGGAGGATCCCTTGCCTCTGATTCCTATTTCTAATATAAAATGCTGCTTTCCTTAAAAAAGAAAAAAAAAGAAAAAATTCAAATCAAATCAAACTCCACCAGTAGCAGATTCAAAGGGTACTGGGCTCGGGCCCTCCACCCCAAGCAGAGCCTCACCTCCGTAACAACAAATCCCAAAAAAAGAAGAAATAGGAACCAGCAGTTGAAAGAAAAGGAAAACAAAGAGTCAACAGCCTATAAGAAGAACAGTCCATTCTGTCTACTGTACTTACAGACTTAAACCGCTAGTACACGGACGGGCCAGCTTTGCAGAAAGTTTTTGTCGCCTCAAGCAAAACTCGGAGGCGCCGCTCGGCCAGGGGTGTCGTTGAAAGGAAAAAATTGGCGGCCTCCGAAGTGGTGCGGGTTTCATGCTGACACCCAGGAACCGATGTGTGGTGTACTGGTCCTTTAAGAAGTTACCAAATCCTATGTCTCCGGTACATCCATCGGTACAGAAGGTTGGGGCAGGAGGCCCAATGCTCATTGAACCACTGAATTCCTGCCGACTTCGAGGCAGCTTTTCTAACCCTTCTCTGCCAGTCCAGAAGGACGATTTGTCTGAGTCTTCTTAATCCACTAGAAAGCCAATGGCGATTATGGCGTAGACTCTGAGGGTGGTGTTTCACCTGCTCGCACTATGTCACTTCTGTGCGGCCAAGGACTCGAGAGCACCATCGCCCAAAGGGTTTCGAAGACATAGGCTATTAGGCTCGAGGCATCATGGTGCCCAGCAATATAGCTGATTCATTCCAAAGGTCGCCCCAAATGGCAGGCATAATATCAACATTCCGCCACTAATCCCAAACGGTCTTAACATGAGGGCAAGTTACCAATATATATCGCTGGTCATCCACCACATAACCTTGAGAGCAATGGAGCATACTGTTCAGAAAGGCGTCCCCTTTTTTCAGCTGCAATAAAGCATCGCCGGAGTAGGAACAACGTTTGTTCTGGTGACGTATGTCAAGGGACGTTGGATTCGATTTCCAAAAAAAATAGAAGAGAAAACTAGGTCGCGGTCATGGTTTTGCAATGAGCCCAGACGTGATGATACTCATCTACATTACCAGTCCATATGATTATCGATCTGCTGATGAATGACAAACAATCGCAATGTGTGTGATGATAGAATGAGGTGAGAATCATACACAGACGAAGGAGGAGAGAGGGGGAATAGACAAAGGAGAGAGAAGAAGACAACAACCCACTTCTGCTTCGCGTCCCTCCTCCTCAACACCTCATCAATAGATAGTCTGAATACAATGTCTGAAGTTCTTCCTCAATGTGCCACGTGGCACGTCAATCTGTCTACATCAGCAACTGGAGAGTATCGTCATCAATCAGGTACGTATCCTCAATAACCACAGTCTTGATCCCCTTCTGAAGTGACGAAGAATCAGAACAACCTCATCAGTCTCGCAGCCCGCCACGTCATCAATCATATACAGGTGGCAGCGGCCACGTCAGCAACGGCGCGTGGCAGCTGCCACGTCAGCATGCCCAGAAGACCATAGCCGGCCAGCCACTATGCCAGCCAGCAGCGCCATGCTGTCCTCCTCCTATGCCAGCGTAAGGCCAGCATTAATTCAATGTCGCAATGTCGCAGCGTTGCAGCATTGCCGCGTCGATGTCAAAGTCAATGCGTGCAGCATTGACACAAGACCGAATGCCCTTCCAACCAGGAAGTCAACTCTTAAGTAGCGTGGATGCGGGGTCTGGACCCCGGGTGCTGAAGTCCTGCACCGTCCAGATCTCGATGTAAATGAGGGGCCAGATTGGCCAGAAACTGTATTCCTCCCGCCCTGAATGTTGTCTGGGTACCTGCACACAACAAGTGAATGTATCCGACCATAGGTCTGGGGGCGGTAACTTTGACTCTACGGTTGACTTTGACTGTTGAATTTCCTTTGTGCCGTGTTCGGTCACACAACCTCCTCGACAGACTCAGGCTGGGCATGTCTCGGTCACATAGCCCAGCACAGACAACTGAGTCTGTGTTTTACCGGGGGCAAAGTTCTGAGCCCCGGTCTGCTGCTGAACAGGGTTACTGCAGTTTGAGTATCTAAATGCATTTCAAACTGCAGTTTTTAATTCCAGTCCCGTGGGGAGTTTACTATGCAGTCTAAACTCCGCTTTGCAGAAAAGTCGCACCCCGGAGTTTGGACTCTGGAGCTGGTTTGAGTATCTAAATGCATTTCAAACTGCAGTTTTTAATTCCAGTCCCGTGGGGAGTTTA